CTCAAAGTTTAAGAAGCACGTTTTCTAAGCAGACGCTCTACTTCACGTGGAACGTTGCATCTCCCCATACTCTGGTGTGCTGAACAATCTGGAAACTGTGTAAACTTAGAAGCACTGATGTGGTCCCATGCTGTTCTCATGAACCAGCTGGTAATCAATATTAATGGATGTAGCAGTTGAAATCATTTTAATGCTTAATCAGTAGGAAAACCTTTCTAGTACAGTTAAACTTTGACTACTAATATCCTAACTGGTGACTCAAAAGTTAATTTTGACTTGCTACTATTCATATAGAGAGTGACTTCAGTGTTGTCAAAGTATGCACAATGTGTGTCTGCCCTTGAGACATTGCAAGTGCAGATGGTGTGTGGAAGAGGTAGGTGTGCGGTTTCTCAGTTATGCCATATGGCTTTATTTGAGAAAACACTTCAAGTCCTTTGACTTCTCAAAAGGGCTCATGTCCTTTCTTTGCTGTCCTGTTGCTGTCCAAATATAGGCTGATTTTTGTGGCTGCACATTAATGCCAGTGTGTCATTGGGTTCCTAAACTGGACAGATACCACAGTGAAAAATAAAAGTTAGAAATTGTTATGACTGTACCACCTCAGGGCTGTGTTACTCATGAATGCCCACACCTTTCCATGGGGTGGACTGACTCCTTGCCAGTGGCTGGTGTCGTACATCTATTCGGTGTTGATAACATGCATGTCTTTGGAAGGCAGAGCTGTTTGTTTTGCCTGGCATCTTCGCCCCTTTCTCTTACTCCTTTCGTTAGTTGCTGCATAAATAGTAAGTAAAGCAGCTAGTTGTGCCCAGAGGACTTTTTGTGAGCAGTCATATGTGCAGCTCGCATCCTTTTCCATGGATGGGAATGTGGATGTTCCATCCCTGGCAGTGTTCAAGGCCAGGTTGGACACAGGGACTTGGAGCAACCTGCTCTAGTGGAAGGTGTCCCTGCCTGTGGCAGGGGGTTGGCACTGGATCAGCTTTAAGGTCCCTTTCAACACAAACCACTCTGGGATTCTATGAATCCCATTTGCTTCGCTTCCAAAACTTAACAGGAAGCAAGACAGACCTTTTGACATAGATGATAAAGGCAGCTAAAGTGTATTATAGAATATGATATATTCTATATTTATTATATATCCTATGATATTAGATGATATGACTGTACTGTGTAGTCGTATGATGTTGTTTCATTTGGGGGTTTTGCATATTCTGTACGCAGTAGCTGGTAAATTCCTGTCCTTACAGAGACCATCAGCATTCCAGCACACTTCATAAAGGTACTGGGAAGTGTTTTTAAGAAGTAGTCTGTAAATATCAAGAGATTCAAAGACCTGTGTGACCATTACCTTTCCCTGTTGTCCTGCTTCTCCATATATTGAAAACTTGAAGGAAATGCTCAGATTCCCTGAAGCTACCTCTCAGCTGGCCACCTGAGCCAAGCCATGTTTGTGTAAAGCAGAACATGTAAAGTGATGTGAAAGCATTGTTGTAAGTCAGACTATTTCTGCTTTCTGTCTCTTTGAGCTGGAAACTGGTGGGAATGTTTTAAAAGCTCTGGAAATGTTGGACTCTGTAAAGATGGACCAGAACGTGTTGGTAGGGTTGTGGTTGGGGTTGAAAGTAGTCCAATTGTGTCACATCCTTGCAGTTTGGGTGAAGAGGGTCCTGTGTGCCTTGAGGCTTGGTGTTCTTTACCAGCACTGTACCATGAAGTGGGAACAGGACTTCTGTTTCTGTTAGGGAAAGTCACTACTGAAAAACTGCTTGTGTCAAGTTTGGAGCACTAAACTTCTGTCCCTTTCCTGCCACAACCCTACGTGCATCCCAGAACAGCCACATTTTAAGACATTAAATAAACTGTACAGAGTACCATCAGTATCCTCCACATAAAATACATCTGCAGCTTCAACTATACAATGGTGTCTGATGTTGTTAGGTTTCCCCTAGTGCTTGGGGTGATGCTAAACTGCTCTCAGAACAAGCAAGCACAACTAACTGAGCATCTCAGATCTTATCTGGAGTGCATGTTCCTATGGCCTGACCCCTATAAAAGTTACTAGTGTTGGCAACTAAGAGTATGTGTAAAGTGATTTTTAAAAGCTGCTGAAGTGGTAGCTTGTTTAATAAAACCAAAATACACCCTTGCTGGTAGTGTGCAGCATCCGCTCTGCTTTTGGTAGAGCTATTCTGCTGTAATAACCAATTGATTCAGCAAATCCTTTTACCATGTACTTAAATTCTTGTCAGCATGTTCGGGTTTATTTAACGCATTAGTTACACCCAGGTTTAATGCGTTGTTGACCTTTAAAGCTCTGCTGAATCATGGGCTGTATCTGCATCACTGTCTATCCTTTGTTGGATGTAGTGCTCTGCACTAGAAAGCTTGGAGGAAGTGGTGCTTAAGGGATCACGTCAGATGCTTCAAACAGGAGGAAAGCAAAGCTACAGAATAAAGGCATGTTTGATCCAGGACTGGAAAAGGGGTTTAAAAGCCTCCCTAGATTTCTGCCTAACCTCTGGCTCAGGTACTCTTTAATGTGGATGAGATCTGAGAAGCTCTAAAAGCCTCAGGTTGAAGAGTCAGGTCGTAGATGGTGTTTTCCAGAAATAACTTTATAAAGAATAATACCAGTGTTGAACTGCTTAATTTTGGAGTAATAACTGCTTGTGCTGCTCACCCATTGTGTTTGGAACTCTCCTTGGCCCTGTATGTAAAACATAAATAAGGTTAATTTAAGCTTCAGCAAAATTGTAGAAGCAACTGTGTCAAATCTGAGTGTCCCCTGTTGCTCTCTTTGTGGTGTAGGAAGGGGGAACCCTTTTGATCATCTCAATAATCAGATAGCAGCAATTCTCTGAAGCTCAATTCAGCAAGCCTGCCTCACATTAACTTCCACAGCCTGAAAACAGCTCAGCTATTTGAGAGCCACCTACACAGCTCTCAATTGCATTTGTTTCTGATGATGTGTCTCAGTGGCTTAACCATAGTACCATAGCATGTATTGGAATCAGTAAAACAAGAGTGCATCAAACCTACTTCTACATATTAAAGAAGGAGGAGTCTTATTCATCCATATGCTACTTTAATAGCAGCTTTTTAGGTTCTCAAAAGGGAGGACTGGGTGCTCTGGACAAGGTTTCCTATGGAAAACATCCTGGCACCAGACCTACCAAACCAGTTTTGGTGACTGCCACCGTACAGTCAGCTCTGGGTACAACGGCCAAGGGCTCTCATGAAACTGCTTGTCAAATAGGAGGGGCTTTTTCTTCTTGTTAACCTGGCCTTAGAAACCCAGGGCTCAGAGGGGTTGAGAGTGGGGAATTGTTTGGTTCTACCCACCCCACAATGCTGAGGGCTAAAACTTAACTGAGAAAGAAATTCTCCTGCTCACTCTTCCCCTTGAACGCACACTCCTGATGCAGCTGGGTGCACCCCCAGAGCGTGAGCAGCAGCTCAGGGAGGGGATCCTGCCCCTCTGCTGTGCTCTGGGGAGACCCCCCCTGCAGCCCTGATCCAGCTCTGGGGAACAGCACACGGGGGACGTGGAGCTGCTGGAGCGAGGCCAGAGGAGGCCCCGGAGCTGCTGCGAGGGCTGGAGCAGCTCTGCTCTGGAGCCAGGCTGAGAGAGCTGGGCTGGGGCAGCTGGAGAAGAGAAGGCTCCTCAAGGGGACACCTTAGAGCAGCTCCAGTGCCTAAAGGGGCTCCAGGAAACCTGGAGAGGGGCTTGGGAGAAGGGATGGAGGGACAGGCCAAGGGGAATGGCTTTAATGATGCAGCGCTTTAGTCCTCCCTCAAACAGTGGGTGTTTTATTGCTGACCAGCAGTCAGAATCATAGATTTGTTTGAATGGGGCTTGGAGCAACCTGCTGTAGTGGAAGGTGTCCCTGCCCGTGGCAGGGGGTTGGAACTGGATGAGCTTTAAGGTCCCTTCAAACCCAAACCAGTCTGTGATTCTATGAAATCAACTGTGCGTTTCAGGAAAGCAGCAGGAGCTGGCAGTGCCATTGTTCAGGTTACCCAGTGAAGTTTGAGTGTGTGAATCTGAAGCTGGTGTCAAGTCTAACAGCCCTGTGGATGCTCAAAGTGTAAATTACTTTACCCCCAAAAGGATCCATGTGATAAAGATCTTTCATTTTGATTCTGCCATCTGCTTCAGACACCTGAATCTCTCTATATTGTGTAGTGTTCCATGAAGTGAGCTGACGATTTATCTTTGAACACTGAGGTCAATCCACAGTATTTATGTTGTCGGATCAAGGACTAATTTAGATTAGCAAATAAAGTGGCCAAATGTTCCTGAGACATTGGGAAGGGAGGAATGAGTCTTTAAAAGCTCTTTAGTGTTCCTTAGCCCCTGGGTGAGCAGAAAATGAGGCATTTGCACATCATTTGAGCATGATGCTTTGGTATTTCACAGTTGCAGAAGTAATCTTTACAAACAACCAGTTGTTGTACAACAGGGAGCTATTTATGTGTAGTTTTGTTGCTGTCATTCCCAAGATTTGCATTGCAGGGATTTATTTCCCCTCTCCTCCTTTAGTGCATATTTTAACCAGTGGATGCGTGGCATAACCCCAAATCCCACATTTTGAATGGATATCTGATGTGCAAAGCTTAAAGGTAACTAGGAAGAAAGTTTCTGTGCATGAGTGTTAAGCTGCTATATAATGACTACCATTAGCACATTTTATGTATGAAAAAGTATGTCATTTAATTGTGGAGAGCAGGAAATGTTTATGGAAAACCTTCCTTTAAAAGATCAGGTCAGTTTTTACTTCTGACTTGAGCTTGTGTTTGCCTTGTTACTTCTACTCTGTGGCTTTGGCAGTCTCTTGTGATTTTTCTTTGCCTTTTTCCATCTAATAGGTCTTGTCTGAAGTGTATGTGTGTCTCCTTTTCATCTGCTGCTGCTGCTTTCCTCGGAAGCAGTGGAGTTTCTCAAAGGGATTCTCCACAACTAATTTCACATTTGTCATTTGTACATATTGCAGAGGAAGATGATGCTGAGGAGGTGCCAGAATTTCAGGTGTCTGGGAAAATTGGAGCAAAGAAGCAGAGGAAATTAGAAGAGAAACAAGCCAGAAAAGCACAGAGAGAGGTAAGCGTTTCCTGCCACGTATAGAGCCCAGAGCAGAGCCTGAATAGCAGCACTCAGCAAAGAACTGGTGGTGACAGACACCCCAGAAAGGCAAAGGCAGTGTCATCACTGCAGTTGTGGTTTTGGCTTAAAGTTTAAATTCTGAAATTCAGCTTTTTACTGTCATATGCCAAAGTATGACAATAAAAAATCCCAAGAGGTCCATGGAAAATGACATCTTGTTTTCTTTCAATCAGGTTCTCTGGCATCCTTGCGGGGAGGAGAGAGGAGTTAAACTCTCAAATGCTCTTTATTTTTAGATATATATATATAAAACCCTATATATATTCAGTGGATGTTTCCACTGGCTTACAGCTTAATGTCATTACTGTCTCCCCTTAAAAACACACTCAAGCCCACAGAGCATTGTTGAAACCCTGAGTCTGTGACCAAAACCGTGGGCAGTGCTGAGTAGAGTTTCATGTGCTCTCACAGTGCAGAAACTTTGCATGGGTTTATCTGTGTTTATTGTTCTTACAGACTAGGGGAGATGAAAAGCAGACTCTGTAATCCACCAAAATCTATGATGCAGACAGATTTTGGTTGAAATCTGGCTCTTAAGCCAGAGACCAAGCATGCAGAGTGAACAGGCTGTCGCTTTTCAGTTGTTGTTTCTTAAACCTGTGTGTAAAAGTGCTTAAATACTGTTGTATTTTCTCAGTTTTGCCCAGCATCTTGCTGGTAATTCCAGAGAAACAACAGGCTTTTTGAAACTGCCTTTCTGAACCATGCTTATGGATGGCAGCAGCTGATGTATTAATTCCTTTTGGTGGTTCTATATACTTTTTGCAAACCCTGTATTGTTCTGTAGTTTGGAGTTGCAAGAAGTAGATACAACTCAAACAGCTTTTGCATATCAAATGCTGGGGTGCAGGGTGGACTTACATCTTCTAAAAAGACAGGGTTTGTGAATGATATTTTTAAGGTGTAGTAGAAATGTAGGAATCCCATCTTGAGAATTTTAGCATCACCTGAGGTTTAAATCAAGTTTCTGCTTTGCAGTGTGGTGGTACCCTGTAGACAGGACAGTGAGTAATAAACATGATTGTTATGTTATATATAACTTTTATTACAATCCTTTTCTCACTCTTTGCTTTAACCATTTTGTCATTACTTTCCATATTTCTTCTATTTAATGAACCTCTCTTGTTGTGGAAAGCTTGAGCAAAGCTGAAGTTAGATAAGCATTGGATGGTGGAGTGAGGAATCTCTTGCTTCACTTTAAAACATGCTGCTTTTTATTTTCCCATGTAGACAGAGAAATTCCTCAGGTCTTTTTCTCTGAAGCATTCAAAGCCACAAATCCTCCATTTCAATGTCTTCTCCTTGTTCTTTTAATACATTTTCAAACTGAAATATACTGAAGAACAACTTGAAAACCCCTTTAAACAAGACACTAAACACCCTTTATATTTTCCCCTCATTTTGCAACAATCTCTTTGCTAAGTTTGGTTTAAAACAAATAATAAATTGATTTAAATAAACCAGTACAGCTTTTTCTTTCAGAGATTCTGCCCAGGTTAATGATAAATTTGGACGTACTTGATGTTGCAGAGTTTATATCCCCCTCTTTCGTTTTACATCCCTTCTCCTTATGGTTCATCCTAAGTAAATTTTCAGTGAGGAGAAATGGACTGCCATGACACAATATTACCTAATTTCACTATAGTAATAAGCTTATATGCAAGTTAGAAGCTTAAACCCTTATTGAAATACAGCTAATGCAAGTGAGAAGGGTAATTTCTCTATTTACCACATCAAGTGTGCAGAAGAGCCGTGGGGGGATGTTAAATCACACCATACTGACTTCGGTTTATTACTCTATTTATTGTTTCTTTCTGAATGTGTATCTAGGAAGATAGTAAGAAAAACCTCCCCTTGGTATCACACTATGAAATCAACAAAGGAAGAGTAAAGGCTTGGCTTGCATGATGTGTTTTATGTTTTAGGCTGAAGAAGCCGAGCGAGAAGAACGGAAAAAGCTTGAGTCAAAAAGAGAGGAGGAAAGGCGGAAAGAAGAGGAGAGAATACGCCTTGAGGAGGAACGTCAGGTGGGATTGGGTGTATTTATAGATGGAAACTTTGAACCAGGTTTGTCTTTGAGTTTGCTTCTATAGAAGTCCTGTGATCAGCAGAACTCCCTTTGGTTTTCATTACTGTTGCAAACATCTTTTATTTGGGGTTGAGTTTCTCTTATCCATTTTGTTTCAATTATAGCAATACTCGGTTGTTTCAACTGTAGATCCCAGCTTTGTTCCCCCAAGTACTTGGCAGAAGTGAAAACTGCTCCAAACGTGAACACTCACATGTAGCAGCAAGCACCCACCCACAGCTGAGTCCAGGGCAAAATGAAACCCAGTCTTCTGGTAGTGGTTCTGCTACTGCTGTGTGCCACAGTGACAGATTCTTTGGTCACCTTGTTCTGTTGACATGCACAGCTGATAAAGATGCCTGTTAGTACATCTGGGAGATGTTTAAGTGCAGGTATATGAAGGAAAGAGGTCTTGCAAGTCATAGGAGAAATTTAGAGGGGTTGCTTGCTTGGGGTCTGACAGGAGAAGTTTGGTTATCACAGAATCATAGAATAAGAAGTTGGAAGGGACCCCTGGAAACCATCATGTCTCTCCTCCTGCTCAAACCATGTCCAGTTGAGCAGGTTGCTCAGGATCTTGACCAGCCCAGCTTCAAGTGTCCCTTCAGGAAGGAGATGTCACAACTTCACTAGGCTCCTGTTCCGTGTTCTGACGTGGTTTAGTGGTGGTCTTGTCAGTCCTGAGGTAATGGTTGGACTTGATGATCTTACAGGTCTTTTCCAACCTGGTTGATTCTATGATTAGTGCTCATTTGAGCTGCTGGCCTGCCAGCTGTAACCAGCAGGACAGAAAGTGAAAGACATCAGCAACTGATTTTGCAACTGTTGTGTGATATTCTGTGATTTAATTCAAATTATACACATTTACATATGCTTCACAATTAAAGGTGTCTAAACTATGCATACAAAGGTGTGCGTTAGCAGGAGTGACCCAGAGAAACAAGTGCTGTGCAATGCTTTTGTTGAATGCCTCTCATCTGAGAGGGAGGCAAACTTATTTCAGAGCTTCGTTGTGTATTCTGGCCATCAGTGCTACTGGGTAAGAACCAGGAACGAGCTTCATGCTGCCTGGTGCTTAAACAAGTTGTATGGCAGCTTTGCAGTGTGCTTCTGGAGGCAAAGACCAAGGTGTTCTGCACAACCTCGTGCTGAGTAACTGCTGTCCCAGGGGAGTGTAGCCCCAGCTTTCAGTGTGAATGTTTGGGATGCTTAAATGTGCATGGAAATTTGTGTGTCTGGTTTCTAGTGAGCAGATTTACTTAAATTTGTCCTAAGCTGAGGTTGTTTAAGTGGAGTGTGTTGCTGATCACAATTCATAAGAGGAAAAGGCATCTCTTCCTTTCCTTTACTGGGGACATGAAGACAGGATAAACCCATTTAAAACATAACTTCCATGCATTACGCACACAGATTGTATCCAGGAGATCTTCTGTAGAATGTACATTTATCTCTAGGGTTATCCCCCTCCAAATCCTTTATGTTCTAAACTCTCTTAATTTCCTTTTCATCAATGGAAAGGTGATGAATACTAGAAACTGAAATGGATGAGGAGAATGGATCAGGATTACATCATCAGGGTATATAGCATGGTCTGAGGCTTTGACTTGTAAAGCAACTTGAACAAACTTCCAGGGGACCAGTTATTCCACAGCTGCTCTTCTGAGAAAGATGTGCAAATTTAGAAGCAGCTGGTAGTGGTCAGAGCATTAACCCTGAGGTTAACTAAGTGATCTCAGCTAGTCCGAGCCACTCCTTTGTTTAGCAAGGTGTTAACAGCAGCAGAACTATCAGACTTGGATCCTCTGGATCTGTGTCCACATTCTTCAGTAGCACCAGCTTTATCCTTGTGGTTCCTGAGACCACTCTGCTTTTCTCTTTAGTATTTCCACTTTTTCCTCCTCATACTTCCAGCCTGGAAAGAGACAAGATGAGCTCTGACTGCCTCTAAAGCACATCCTGCTTGTCAGGGAGCTAGGCATAACAGGTAACTCAGAAAATTTCCCTCCTGTGGTATATCCTTTTAAGTGGTTTTAAGTGTTTTGTTGCCACCCAATTCCCTGATTATTATTTGTTATTAATTTTTCCCTAAGATTTGTGAATTTAATATCCCTGAAACCCTGAAGAGTTGGTTGAAATGAAGCAAATGCCTCCAATACTTTGGGAGATTCGAAGGGCATGCTGGCTGGATGCATTGTTTAAGTGTCCCCTCCTTTAGAGGAGGCTCATGAACACAATTTCAGTTCCTTCCAGAGTGGTAGCCAGCAGGGCAGGTGAATTGCTAAGCAAATTGCAGTTGAGCTTGGCCAACCTGCTCTAAAGAAGCTGTAGCACAGCACAAAGATGTTATCCTGTTGGTTGCCTAGGGGTTTGACCTGGCGGTTAGCAGTGTAGCTAGCTGGCTTATCAGGATCAGTCAGGCATGGTTGAAAAGTTGACTAGAAAATAAGGGTGACATTCAAACTACAGCTGTCTTCATGCACAAAGTGCTTATTAACATATTTAGCTGGTTTTTTGAATTGCTTCTTTTCAGTTTAGGGCTGAGTAATTTATGCTGGCTGAATGAGGAAACTAATTTTCAGTATTCCTAGTAAAGACTGCACTAAAACACTCCCACCTCCATTTTGCAGGGCTCAGTGAAAAGAGGAATATAAACTAAGGCTCTGATTTTGTTGTTGTTTTGGTTTGTGTGCCACAGTCCAAAGGAGCTCTTACTGGAATTGTGAGAATGGCTCAGATGCATGAATCCAGCCTGCTTTAGCCAATACCTTCTTTGGATACCTAAACTGTGTCATTTCAAGCTTCTTTTTGTGTGGTTCATTTGTTTGCAGTAATCTTTATCAGGGCATCAAGCCAACCCACTCAGCTACATCACAAATGTTGTTCTGCTACGCAGGGAAAACTGCTTTCAATACCTTATTTTTTTGCCTGGGTCTAAGACAAGTTGATAATCCAGTGACCACTGAACATTGTGAGCATGGGTCCAGGTAAATGTCTGACAATATCTAATGTCCATCCTCAACAGTTTTCTAGTACTTTTAAGTCTATATCCAAGTCTTTGTACATGGGTAGGCTGTGTTGGTCAAGTTCCTGCTTCAGTCAGCAAAGAAAGTAGTATTGTTATTTATTTAGGTACTATTTAACCTGCCAGAGGGGAGATCGAGATGAGCTCTTGGGCAGAAGCTCTTCCCTGTGAGGGTGCTGAGGCGCTGGCACAGGGTGCCCAGAGAAGCTGTGGCTGCCCCATCCCTGGCAGTGTTCAAGGGCAGGTTGGACACAGGGGCTTGGAGCAACCTGCTCTAGTGGAAGGTGTCCCTGCCCGGGGCAGGGGTTGGAGCTGGATGATCTTAAGGTCCTTTCCAACACAAACCAGTCTATGTTGTGCTCCCTGTTATCACAGAATCAAGACTTAAGTGTTTTAGCCTTGACTAGGAGGGGAAACAAGTGGAATGAATAGATGCTTGATTGCTGTGCATGTAAGCACAGCCTGTCTTATGATCGTAACATCGTACCTTTCAAACCTTACTACAGACTGATGCTGTGGTGTAAAAGATACTGCCTCTCCCTTCTCAGCCTGTGAGTGAGAAAGGGATCATTGGATTTATTGTGCTGTTTATAGAATATATAGTATAAAATGTCATTTATATGTTCCTCTAGACAAAGGATTCTTCATTCCCATGAGTAACGTTTTGTAAGCCCTTGTGGACTACACCTGTGATGATTTTTATTTCCCTGTGTAAGTTAGGAGGTAGAAAGGCAAAATTAGGGTAGGTAGCTCAAGTACTGAGTGATAGTCATGAGATAAAACCAGAGGGTAGTTGGTTGTATGATTTCTGGAGGCAGTTTGATTGCTGACATTGCTGTAGTTCATACAATCCCCCAGGCACAAGAAACTTTTGAGTTTATCATTAAAGTTTGTTAGTTAAATGTTATGGTTGTCAAACAACTTCATTTTTTTCCCTTCGTTTTCCAGTACTTCAGCTTATTTCTGCAAGTACAGTGACAGTGGCAAGTCTCCAAACAGCACAGCCAGCTTTGTTAGCTAAAACTCAGTTGAACCTTTTATTTCAGTCTCTCACCCAAGAAGTGCTACCAAAACTGTGCTAACTTCTGTGAACGCTGGGACTGGCTTTGTGTAAAGGAGAGCTTCCTTTCTGGGTTTTAGCTACAGCCTTAAACCAATAGTTAAATCTTTGTGAACATCAGTAGCCAATTCCTGCACCATTAAATACCATCTGAAAGTGTGTCAGATGGTGAGGGGAAGGCAAACAGATTCAGGGCTGGTAAATCATGTTGCAGCTTGCAGATCTTCTAGAAATTCCCCAGTGTTGATCTGTGATAAAGTCACTGTTAAACCTCTCACACACACCCCTCAAGCACTTTGAGATATGGAGTCTGGTGGAAATACTGAATTCTTGAGTCAGATGAAAACCTACTTTGGTTTATGAGCAAATGGACATCTGCAACTGGTTTTGGGCAGCTCTACACAGAGCCATTGCACAGGTGAGAACTGCACCTTCAAGGGAGTGACGGGGGCTAAAATCTTGCATATTGTTGAGAAAAATGACCACCTGGTTCTATTTAAAGTTATTTGTATGTACATATAAATAAAATGTGGCTGCCCCTTGGCTTCAGTGTTGCAAACCAGATAATGTATTTTTAAATTCAAGCTTCCTTTCCAGTGTTCTGGTGACCTGATTGGCTCTGCATGTGAGGAAGCTCCTTTTATAATTGGCATTTGCCTCAGCTCTGCTTTACCCCTGGGGATTTCCCTTTCACTCTTGGAGTTTTTTAGTGGTGAGATGGTTTACCAACCGACACCTTATCAATGAGAGCGAACTTCCTCTGATGTTGCAAAACAGTGTCTTCATACAAAGCCTTGCAGGTTGCTCACATAAGAGCTTTTCTTTTCCCTATTTTACTCCCTCAGCCTAGCTTTGCCATGCTAAGGAAGCTCTTGTG